CAGGACCGAAAACTGTCACTGTTATCAAGCCTACTGAGTATCAATGGAAATTTGAGTCTTTAGGGAAAAAACCGAGTTTTCAAGTATTCGTCAATTTTTTTTTTTAGTATTTTTAAGATCTACTATCCTACTCGTAGCGGAGACAAATCCAACAATGAAAATTGTTCCAGCAGATCTCGAGTTATAAGTGTAGAACACATTTACACAATTCTCTTATATATAGATAGATTATGGTAAAAATAATTTAGACAAAAATTAAAGTAATATTTCTAAATTGCAAACAGCTTTCTTCATACTTACTACCAAAAGTAAAAAAAATTATAGTACCACTGGTTAGTGATAGTACTTTAGTAAAAATCTGAACTTGAATTTCTTCGTGGCTAACATATTTCTTCGTAACTGATAAAGACATTTTTATATCTAAAAGTAAATTAAAAAGTTGCTTGGAGATCCATTTATTGTGTTCTAAAAACACATGCACATCAACAATTTTAGGTCATGTGATGTGAAAAAAGCGCATCCTTAATGTGTTCAGTATCGACAGTGGATAAAATATCGATAGTGGTGTAGAAACGTTAATATTCGATATCTCGATTGTTGGCCAGCTCTAATTAATCGTTAATTTACTGTGACACATCGCGTGCCTCAACGTAAGGTGATTATATTTGTTAAAAACTGAAGCGGTAAAGTTCAATTTATATTATTTATTTGTCAATATAATTAATTATTCCCGAAATTTCTTTAAAAGTAATGAAATCGTCAGAAATGTGTTGAGGGAACGGATCGCTGCTCCAGATCCAGCTTCGAATTTAATCATATTCCACGCGTATATACAGTGGCTCACAGCTTATTTCGTGCAGCGGTATAGTACAATATTAAAGCCGTATTCCCGCTAAACCAGTAAAGATATGTAGAACAAATTTAAATGGGGTCTTATATATTAGTCAATATGTATTAACGCAATTCATTTTGTTCTGTTCTAACAAATAACATTTAAAATAAAGGTAACTAGAAAATTTTTATTTCAAGACTTTCAATGACTATTTCCCAAAAATACTTAAATTAGTCTTTTTTGACCTTTTTACTTAAACGCCTCTTTTAAGCGTGATTTCATTAGGCTTAACAATTTTCGGGTGACTTTGGTAGAGATTTTTGGCCATTCATCCAATATACATATATGCACATGAGTCGAGGTTTAATATACTGAAACTGATAAATAAAACTTAATTTAAATTTTGTGAATATCTTTACTGATTCAGAGGGAATACGGCTTTAAAATTGTACGCTATCGCTGCACGAAATAAGCTGTGAGCCGCTGTACATATTTGCATTTTTCTATTCAAATAAAGATTCAATGATTTACATTCATCATTTTTGTTTTCCCAGAAAATTTGTAATTTAACTACATGTATCGGTTTCACGTCAATGTAATTTCGATAGTCTACTAAATTAACCTTCCCATATTATATATTCATGTTGCAGAAGTTTTCTTGATGTCTAGAATTACAAATAAATCTATTGGAATGATTCCTGAATTAAAAACTGAATTGAATACACTTGAAAATTTGGTATGTATCTCAATGGTTTGCTGTTGCTCTTTGATGAATGCAATATACATTGTACATACATACATATATGATTTAAACGGCCAACAGGAATATGTGACGGCAAGCCTACATACGAAAATAAAGCAGTCTACAGTGAAACAGACCACGTGTTTTCAAGATTATGATGATCTCATCAAGCTGCAAATTGAAAATATTAAACTTAAACACCGGTTCGCAAGAATCATAAAAGTTAGTTTATACATATGTAACTATAACACATCGTATAATAAAGAATTTCATGTTTTAGTCAATAACTGAAGAGCAAGATACAAATTTTAAAATGCAAGAAGGTAATATTCCTTCCATTACGGGGTATTTGGAAAAAGTTTTTACAAAAGCAATTGCGAATGCATATCCCCGTTTTTGTAACGTTCCAACTATTATTGCGGCTGTGAATGTGTCGTCAAAATTCGGAGACTACCAGTGTAATAACGCTATGGGACTTGCCAAGAAAATGAAGGAACAAGGAATTATAAAAACTCCACGAGATATTGCTCTAGATATTCAAAAGTTTGTTCCAGAGTCCTCAATAATAGAGAAAGTAGAAGTTTCAAGTGCTGGCTTTATCAACATTTTTATCAGCAAGTAAGTTAAAACCAAATTTTATTTAAATATGGTAACGCATATACTATTTCTTTCAGGAAACTTGCTGTGCTTTCTTTAACAAACATATTGCGGTATGGCATTCAGCCACCAAAGGTTCCAAAAACACGCGTATTAGTTGACTTTTCTTCTCCAAACATCGCAAAACAAATGCATGTCGGTCACTTACGTTCCACCATAATTGGGGAGTCAATCTGCAGGCTTCTTGAATTTCTACAACATGATGTAATTCGCATCAATCATCTCGGGGATTGGGGAACGCAGTTTGGTATGCTTATAGCTCATCTAGAAGATCGTTTTCCAAATTTTCAAAACGAGAGTCCACCAATTGGAGATCTTCAAGAATTTTACAAAGAATCTAAAAAACGGTAAGTGTTATAACAATTATTTTAAAATTTGGTGATGTAAATTTGAATTAATACATCGATGTCGATGTCCATCAATGATTTCAAAATCAAGCATTGGATTGATATATCGAATTGAAATGACTGATGTTTTAAAACTTTTCCATTCGATTATAAAACGAATATACAGCTGCGAAAAATAAAATAGCACCACTTGCATATTCAGAGTTTGAGG